AAAAAATAAAGAAACTTACGGCTTTGAGACTCTTATTGCTGGTGTTTGTTGCATAAATGACAGTACACCTCATCAATTAGTTGTTCATTATCATGACAAGCATAGTAACAAAAATTACACATTATTTTTATTTACAGTATTCTATTTTCACTTTATAGTCAAATCAAAATCACTCAGCCAATAACAACTCTGTAGACTTGACAGATTTGTGTTTTATCAATATGTGATAAATATATAAATAAATAAATGATTTACCCTTAGAATGTAATAGACACATTCCAATTCTGTCTTGCCTTTCATTGGATAGTCACCCATTAACTTCATCAGAGCTGACAAATACACACAAATAGGAATGAATATGTATTCTCAATAAATAATCACTATAAACTAACATTATTAATAAATTGTCACAAATTCTGTCATTTCTGTCTGATCACCGTGTGCGACATGATTCCATCACTGTGCATGACAGTCACATTTCAGTCACTGTACAAGTGATGGTTTGAATTTTATTAACCATAGTTTGATGGTTGTGTCCTAGTTAATTGCTACATTTGAAAGGCACACATACCGGCATAATAGAGCTGGAGTTCATTTCTAATAAACTTACCAATGAAGCATTCTAATGCCAGTTTATTAAGTTGACCACCTTCTAATTTAAGTAGTGATGCTGGTATTGGTGATTTGGTATATTTTACCATATTAGCATACTCCTGCCATGTCCAACTTCCACCATTCTGTATGGGCCTCTTCTTACCACCTGTCAATTCAGAAAATAATTTTACAAATACAAAAAAAAAATGCATCCAATTTAAATTTTGGAAATTAGTTGATGTTATTCTTATTGGTTAAAAATATATGTATAGCAAAAATATATGCCTTAATTTGGTCAAAAAAACTGGGTTCACGATACAATAATAATTAAAGAGTGAACCTGTGTGGTGGTTGACTACTTCTATTAAAAGGTAGTGGACATGTGTTCAACCCAGGTTGTACCCATTTTTTGTATGTGTTAATCTATGCAACAATCAAAGATGTCATCTTTGTTAATATCTATATATTGTAGTTTGTGACAAAAACACCAACACCATTTAAGATAAAGAATTTCCCATTTGAAATCCAAGAAAGGGACGTTTATTCATATATATTTGACAATATTTTTACATTATGCAGTGGTTGGTTATGAGGACGCCTGATTTGTCTACATTTGGTGTCCATCATCCGTCAATAAATTTTGTTTAATTTGTTAAACTTTGCCATTAATAAAATAAATCTTCCAAAATATTCAATGTCAGAGACCCTTATTATTAGTTTTACATTTTCTGTTGAGGTTGGTTTGGCCCAACTTGTTCTAAACACACACTGATTTCAAAATATGCATAGTAAACCTGGCAATGTTGCTATTCTGATGTTTGGAAAAGACATGATGATGTTGTTTCCTATTTATTTCAAAAACAAGACAAAACTTTTTTATTAATTTTATAATATTTGGGATACTTGATTTATCGGTTGTATGCGTGAAATGGAGTAGGCTAACCTTTGAGAGTACTTTTAAGTGTTCCTATGAATCGTAATGATCCACTAATTGACCCATCAGATTTACGTTGCATCTCATACTTTTCCAGTGATTCTCGGAAATACTTCATTGCAAACTCTATCATGGAATATTTGCCATCAGCATGTTCCAAGTCATCACCATTATGCATCATTTCTGACACCTATAAAATTAATATAATTCACTACCAGTTAGCAGTAACAAACAAATAAACTCATTGAGAACAAGCCATGCATGGCACAGTCCCCGTTAGTTATCAAATTTAAGATATATAGTTTTGTTTACAGTAATATAGCTGGAATATAACCATGTCAGGAATATGATTTGTTAACATTAAATGATTGACATTTGTATCTGATCGTCAAAAAAGTACTGGAACAGCATCAAAATCAG